TCTTGGGACCCAGGATACTCATAGCCAGGGCAGAGAGTGGCCTGCTGGTCCCCTGTGCTCTATTCCTGAGGCCAGGCCAGGCCACATTTCCAGCTGCACGTCCTGGCTTTCCGCACAAGACACACCTGGAGCACTTCCACGTTTTCACAGCTGCATGAGCGTCTGTTCTGGGTGAACCATGACTGATCCTGCCACTTCCTCAGCTTTAGGATGCTCCAGGACGTGTGTGAGCCCAGGCAAATCTCCCAAGTTGTTGCCAGCTGCTCTCAAGGCTGCTCTGGGTCCCCAGGAGCTGGACAAAGGAGGCTCATCTGCACTGAGAGGAGCCCTGAAGGGCCAGTATGGGGGAAACACAGAGGCAAGGATGTTGTCATGACCCTTGGTCTATGCTGGGTCTGCAGCCATCTGCGATCAGGGCCTGGGTGGCATGTGCATCCTAGTGTAACTTGCCATCCCTCACCACAGTGGCAGAGCACAAATAGCTTTGCTCTTTGCCAATGTTCTGCTCTAATCATTTCCCTGGGATCTGTTAATGGTCTCACAGATTTGTGCACTTCCCTTTGACATTAAGAATGTTACCCTGGTAGACAGCATTCTCACCAAGATTGTCCTCACCTTGTTGCAGGGCGGGGGTTCCCTTTGTTCATTGGCTTTTCTAGGACTAGAGAGCCTGACGCTGCAGCCAGCAGCCTGCTGGTGCCAATGGGCTTTTATGGGAGAATCACATGTTCATTAAGGAGAAAACAAGAGATAAAGAGAAGCAAAAAGGAAGCGCTAAATCAACAGAACTCTCACCACACAGGGACAATTTCTTAGCACTCTGGATTAATTCCTGTCAATACTTTTCCTGGACTTGAAAATAGGTATTTTACATGTGAAATCACTGACATGTAAATACATATTTTACATGTAGTATAAAAAAAAAAGAAAAAAAAAAGAAAACAGAAAGAGAACAAGTCACCAACCTAATGGGCCATCTCAAGCAACTGGAAAAGGAAGAACAATCCAATCCCAAACCCAGAAGAAAAAAAGAAATATCCAAAATTAGAGCAGAACTAAATGAAATTAAAAACAAAAGAATTATTCAGATCAGTGAAACAAAAAGTTGATTCTTTGAAAAGATTAATAAAATTGATAAACCCTTGGCTAGACTAACCACAGAAAATTAATATCTCTAATAACTATAATCAGACATGATAAAGGGTACATAACAACAGATGCCTCAGAAATATAAAAGATTCTCAACCATTACTACCAAAAATCTCTATTCCCAGAAATGTGAAAATGTGGAGATGGATCAACATCTGGAAGCACAATTCCTTCTTAAACTCAGCCAGAAAGATTTAGAAATCTTGAATAGACCAAAATCAAGTACTGAAATAGCATCAATCATACAAAATCTCTGTAAAAATAAAGCCCTGGACCAGATGGTTTCACATCAGAGTTCTATCAAACCTTCAAGGAGGAACTAAGTCCTATAATGCATAAACTTCCAAAATACAGACAAGAATGAATCCTCTCCAACACATTCTATGAAGAAAATATCACACTGATCCCCAAACCAGGAAAGGACCCAACAAATAAGAAAATTATAGACCAATATCATTAATGAATATTGATGCAAAAATATTCAACAAGATATTAGTAAACAGAATACAAGACATTTAAAAGGTTATACAACATGATCAAGTGGGTTTTATCCCAGCGACACGAGGTTAGTTCAACATGCACAAATCTATAAATATAATACACCACATAAATAGAATCAAAAATAAGACCATATGATTCTTTCAATTGATGCAGAACAGGTTTTTGACAATATAAATCATCCTTTACATGATAAAAAACACTCCAGAAAATAGGCTTATATGGAACATTACTTAAGCCAATAGAGGCTATCTACAGCAAACCCACAGCTAATATCATATTGAATGGAGTAAAACTCAAAGCATTTCCACTCAAATCTTGTACCAGACAAGGTTGCCCACTGCTTCCACTGCTATTTAACCTAGTGTTAGAAGTTCTAGCCATCATAATTAGGCAAGAGAAGGAGATTAAAGGAATCCAAATGAGGACAGAGGTGGTCAAACTCTCCCTCTTCATGGATGACATGATCTTATACATGATTATCTCATGGAAAATCCCAGAGATTCAACTACAAAGCTCTTAGCAAAGACTCTATTCCTTTTACAATAGCACCAAAGAAGATGAAATATCTGGAAATATATCTAACAAAAGATGTGAAAGATGTCTACAAATAGAATTATGAAACTTTGAGAAAGGAAATAGTAAAAGATGTCAACAAATGGAAAAACATACCATGCTCTGGCTGGGAAGAATCAACATTGTTAAAATGTACATACTATCCAAAGCAATCTATAGATGTAATGAAACCCCCATCAAAGTACCAATGTCATACTTTAAAGAACTTTAAAAAATAGTATTTCAATTCATATTGAACCAGAAAAAAACCCAAATAGCAAATACAGTTCTTAGAAATAAAAACAAATCTAGAGGGATCATGTTATCTTACAAGGCTATAGTGATAAAAAAACAACATGGTAAATTGGTTAGTGGTAGTACTGAGTACATTGCACATATTTTTTCCATTCCTAAGATACTTTACTGAGAAGAATATTTTCCAGTTCCATCCATGTAAACATAAAAGAGTTAAAGTCTCCATCTTTTTTAATGCTGCATAGTATTCCATGGTATACATATACCACAATTTATTGATCTATTCATGGGTTGATGGGCACTTGGGCTTCTTATGAGATGTGGCAATTATGAATTGAGCTGCAATGAACAATCTGGTGTATATATCTTTGTTACCAAGTGATTTTTGGTCTTTGGGATATACACCTAGTAGAGGAATGTCTTAACACTGTGATTAAGTAGGTGAGGTGAAAGCTATGTTAATTAGTAGGATTTAAGCACTCCAATTTGTACAGATAATCAACACATTGAATCCCACAAAGGCATAAATGTATTCATGATCTATGGATATATGACATAATAAAATAAAATAAAATAAAATAAAAATGAGAAAAACCCAGCATGGTACTGGCACAAAAATAGAGATGTAGATCTATGAAATAGGATAGAGAATCTAGAAATGAACCCAGCCACATATTGCCATTTAAACTTTGATAAGCCTAATAAAAACATGCAATGGGGAAAAGAATTCTTATTTAACAAATGGTGCTAGGAGAACTTGTTATGCACATGTAGAAGACTGAAACTGGACCAGCACCTCTCATCTTTGACAAAAATTGATTCTCCTTGGATAAAAGTTTTAAATTTAATACATAAAACAATAAAAATTCTAGAAAACAGTGTAGAGAAAACACTTGAAGATGTTGCCCTGTGAAAAAACTTTATGATGAAGACCTCCCCCCTAGAAATTTCAACAACACCAAAAATAAATCACTGGGAATTGATTAAGCTAAAAAGCTTTTGCACAGCTAAGGGTACCACAAACAAAGCAAACAGACAGCCTTTGGAATGGGAGAAGATTTTTGCATGTTATGAATATGAAAAAGGTCTGATAACTAGAATCTACAGAGAGTTTAAATTAAACAATAACAAAATTGCAAATGACCCTCTCTATAAGTGGGCAAGATATTTGAACAGAAATTTCTCCAAGGACGACAGATGAAAGTACAGCAAACACATGAAAAAATGCTTGACTTTAATCATCAGAGAAATTAAAATCAAAATCACTCTAAGATATCACCTAACCCCAGCAAGATTAGTCCACATCACAAAATTCCAAAACACCAGATGCTGGTGTGGATAATGAGAGAAGGGAACACTTCTACATCACTGCTGGGATTGCAAACTAATACAGCCTTTTTGGAGATAAATATGGAGAATCCTCAAAGATCTAAAAGTAGACTTTCCATTTGACCCTGCAATCCCAATACTATCTACCCAGAAGAACAAAAATCATTTTACCACAAAGACATTTGCACTAGAATGTTTTTAGTAGCTTAATTCATATTTGCCAAGTGAAAGAAATAACCTAAGTGCCAGTCAACCCATAAATGGATCAACACACTGTGGTATATGTATACCATGCAATATCAATTAGCCATTAAAAAAGATGGAGAATATACATGTTTTACATTTATCTGGATGGAGTAGAAATACATTCTTCTTAGTAAAGTGTCACAAGAATGGAAAAATAAATATCCAATGTACTCCACACTAATATGAAATCAATATATAAACAAATACATGCTCATAAGAACAATAAAACACTAATATAGTCACTTCAGGGGTAGAGGGACGTGGGAGGGGGTTCAGGGGAGGATGTATGGCAGGGCGTGAGGTGGGATCTAACCTAATGTGCACATGAGGGTGTATGACACGCACCCTGGGCGAATGGCTCTTCTACAAATAGAATTTTACCCTTGAAGTGAGAACAATGTAGCCTAAAAAATTGTACCCTCATATTAATTTGAAAGAAAAATATTCAAAAAAAAGTGCAGGCTTCAACCTGGGACTTGCCATTGTTGTCTGAAGTGAAGGTATTCTTGAGGGACTAAGCCCTCAGACTGTGGGATCAGAAGCTAACTCCAGGTAGATGATACCAGAATTGAATTACTTCTGCTGGAGATTTGCTTGTTCTGTGGAGGAAAACATCTACACATATTTTGTGGACCAAAGATGAAGTAGTCTGCATTGCTGTGACTATGTGAGAGTACAGTGGAAAAATAATCCAAACTGGTTGTCTTTCTACCAGCTATAGTAGGATGTGATATATTCTTAAATAATTATTGCTGTACTAAGGGAAGTTGGAATGGGGAAGAGAGATGGTTAATTCCCTTGAATTTATATTTTTGAAAGAAGGGTCCTACTCATGCAGGAAAGGTCCTACTTCTTAGCATGGAAGACTAATTCTGGGAGCAAACTGATTTTATCATTCATAGGCCCTGCCAATGCAGGAACCCAGATCTCTTTCTAGACGTAACAGGAGTCTACTCAGCACCTCTTACCTATATCAAACAAAGAATTTCCACCTTTTCCTGGAGAAACAAAACTTTCATTCCAGATACTCAATTCCACTATCTGAAGTAATCGGGTAGCAGTGCTTGCAACATCCTTTTTGCTTCCAGTGTCCCTTAGATTTTCCTGACAAAGAAATAAACTTAATTAGATAGATGCTCACTAAAACTTCATAAAGCAGTAATATGCATAAATGTGGTAGAGTGAGCTCAGAAGACAGTATTTGTGGAAGTGCTATTAGGTGAGGGTGGACATGAATTTGTAAACACTGCCACAAGTCTTCAAATGACAGCTAAGGCATTGTCATTTTTCCCTGAGTGTCTTAATTTCAGTTGACATCTGAGACCAGCCAATTTTTGGTTGTGGAAGGCTGTTTTAAACATAATGAGATACTGAGCTGTGCCATGATCTGTTCAGTAACACACCTTCCCCACTACATCTGAAGTTGTGAAAATCAAAAGCATTCCTAGAAATTAACAGATGACCCTTAGAGGACCTTAGGGTAGAGGACAAAATCACCCCTGGATGAAAACAGCTCTGTTGTAAAAATCATGAGGAATTATGCTAGTGTTAAAGTAGGAGAATAATGTGAGATGGACCAGCAGTTCCCCTAACCTGGGCTTCACTCCACTTACCCAAATATTTGCTCGTGGCTGTATCTTACCACTACTGTTCTCTATGGGGGAAAAGAGTAGATATTAAATGGGATATGGAATAAAATACACCCTGGTCACACCACTTCTTTCAATCACCCTTAAGTTGGGTCTTTCCCTGATCTTGCTCAAGGCCACCCTAACTCCCTTCAAATAAAGCCAAAATATATTTACAGTAGGATTACAGAAGGTAATTAGAATGCAACTTTCAGTTTAATACATCAGTCAACAGTATTTATTGATCACCTACTAAGACTAGACACTATGCTAAACCACATAGATGTATGGTAGTAAAGGAGACCAAGTATGTGCTCCATGCAGTTTACAATCTCAAAGCAAAGGCATTAAGCAAAGAATTACAAATAAATAATAAAGCAATTGTGAGGAATCACATGAGGAATGCACAGCAGAGAACTCAAACATATCAGGGTTGTAGGGAAGGATTCCTGAAAAAATCAGCATTAATTGAGTTAATATTATAGAAGCAGCTGTCTACAATGACAACTACAGTATATCATCTGAGAGAATGCAGAAGGTTATAACAGACATATGTAGCATAATAACTAATATTTACTGAGCCTTCCTAGATACCTAGGACTGGTAAGTGTTTTTCATGCATTAGTAATCATAAAATATAGGTGAGGTGCACTAGTTTGTTAGGACTGTTAAAACATAATGGCATAAACTTGGTGGCTTAAAGCAACATGAACATACTGTCTCACACCTTGGAAGGCTAAAAGTCTGTAACCATGATGTCAGCAGGACCATGTTTCCTTTTAGGAAGACTCTAAGGAATCATCTTGTCTTCTGGTACTTACCAGCAATCTTTAACTTTCCCCTGCATTATGGCAGCAAAACTCCAATCTGTGCCTTCACATGGCCCTCTTCCCTCTCTGTGTGAGTCCGTTTCCAAATTTCCCTCTTTTTATAAGAACACCAGTTATATAAGATTTAAGATCCTCCCTAATCTAGTATGATCTCATTTTCACTTGATTGTGTCTGCAAAGACCCTATTTCCAAAGAAGATCATATTCACAGGTTCCAGGTGGACACAAAATTGGAGAGCACAGTATTCAACCCAGAAAACAAGATTCTGAAGTGGTGTACAATTATCTTTGCCCTTTTTTTTTCTTATGAGACAGAATCTCACTTTTGTCACCCTCCAATAGAGTGCCATGATGTCACAGCTCACAGCAACCTCCAATTCTTGGGCTTAAGCAATTCTCTTGCCTCAGCCTCCTGAGTATCTGGGACTACAGGTGCCTGCCACAACAAATGCTCAGCTATTTTTTGTTGCAATTCTCATTGCTGTTTTAGCTGGCTGGGGCCAGGTTCGAACCCACCACCCTCGGTATATGGGGCTGGTGCCCTACCCACTGAGCCACAGGTGCCGCCCTATCCCTGCCTCTTTGTATTCTCATTCTTGTATAATCTCCTGCCATTGACAGTGGACTGGACTCAGTAAGTCATTACTAATGAATTTAGTCCAGTAAAAGTAATAGGGTGCCACTACTGTGATTAGGTTATAGAAGACTATGACTTTTCTCCTATTGACACTGTCTAGTTGTGTTCAGGTCTTTGATATAATAAAGCAAGTGATAGAAGTGCGCACATATAGGAACTGATGACTGCTCCCAACAACCACTAAAAAGGAACTGAGAGGCGGCTCTGTTGCACAATGAGTAGTGCACTGGATTTCTAAAAAGGAACTGAGGGCATCAGTCCAATGGCTCTTAAGGAACTGGATATTTCTAGCCATCATGTTAATGAGACACAAAGAGATCCAGCCATAGTCAAGCCTTCAGATCAAACCACTGTCCAGGAAACACCTTTATAGCAGATGTAATAAATTCCGAAGCAAAGGACTCAATTAAGCTATGCTTGTACAACAAAATATTAAAACATAAATTTGTGTTATTTGAGCCACAAAACTGGGGAGGGAGTAACTTAGTATGCACTATAGGTCTTAGTCTTACAGATGAGGTATACACAAGTTAAACATTACCTAAAAGAGATAGTAAGGGAGCACTTAAGGCAGCACATAAGTCCAATCCATCTAATTCAAAACATGAAATTATATTAGGATTGAAAAAATAAACAAATATATGGTGGATGGTAACAACCAGAGTTCTCATTTTGGAGAATGGATTTACAGATAAGGAAAGAGGGAAAGTGAAGACAAGCCTTGGTGTTGCGCTGGCAAGATAGGTGACAGATGAACTCACAAGCTTTGAGATGCAGAGAAATAGACAGACATAGGAATTGAATTTAAGGGAATTAAATGTGCAGAAAACAAATCAGAGATTTTTTTTTTTTTGGAAGGTCAGGATTGAGAACTGTATGGAGACACCAATCATAAACTAAGAAAATGACATGAAGGCTATGTTAACCAGTTGGATGAAAGTATTTCAAACTGTATATAGAAACAACCCACTGTACCCCATGATAGTATTAATGTACACAGCTATGACTTAATAAAAAAAAAAGTATCCACACAGAGATGGTTTTTTATGTCATGGGCTTGAATAACATCTCCTTGGACAACAAAGAGGACAAAGGAATGAGAAACATGGGTTAGGACAGAGGTCCATTCTCTCATCCTGGCTGGAAATCAGTAGCCCCCAGAAGGTCATCCCAACTTCCCCCCCCCAATCCTATTTAATGGAGGAAAGAGTACTGGGAGGGTCTTACCATAACAATCTGGCTGGTCACTTTCAAACCATCTAGCCACCCATCTGAAGAGAGGATAGTTTACTATACAACTGCAGACATAAGTTCCAATTTTGTTTCTACAATATGCAATATTCTTGCACTTTGCCAGCCCAGTTTTGCACTCGTCAGTATCTGTGAATCAAGAGAAATATTTTTGCTTTCCGTTTTCATAGAACTATACAAGTTCCGTTGCCCATGGAATCTTTAGATCAACTTTGTTCACAAATGTACCCAAATAACCTGTACCCAAGAACTCCTGTTCTTAGTTGGGACAAATCAAAATAATAAAAGTTAGAGTTCACTTTATATTCATGTATAAATCCAGTGCAATGCTGGTACAATAATCTACATGTATTTTATGGGATGAGACAAGTTGATACCATTAGGCAAGAATAGGCAGAAAAACTACAAGGTGGGAACCAGATATAAAGCTACGAAGATTTGACAAAACAGTGAGGTGCTGATGCATGAATGACTAAATATAGACTAATGGAGTGGACCAAAGGTTCAAAAAAAGACCCAGATAAATGTGGAGAGTCAAAAAATAGTGTAAGAGATTTGTCAAATCACTGGAATAAGGATGGACTATTGCTTTTACTTAATGGTGAGTGTCAAATTTTTTTAATAAATGCAAAACAAGGGTAAGTTAACACATTATTAGGAAAGGTTTCAGGCTAGGTGAAAGAAACACACCAGTTAAATCCTGGCTTGTGCAATGTTTGTATGCCTTGAATCTCTCCATGTTATCAGCCTTTCCTGCTGATGGAGCAGGGTTAAGGTTCAAGCCCACGGACAGAAAGCCCCCTGAAGCAAGGACTCACATTTCCTCTCTCTATCTGAAGGACTCAGTGACCAGTGCACCTGTCCAACAACTGTGCCTTGTCACTTAGTCTGTTGGAGAGCTATGGGTTTTCCTTGGCCTGTGGAATTCTGTGCTTTAAATGTAAGACACAATGACTAGAATAGTTATCACTAATGAGGGATCAAATTAAATCTTATAAATAATATTGTTACCTTCACATCTGTCATAGGAGCTGTAAAAGTGTCTCTTCCCAGACCTGGTCTGGAATCCATCCTCACAGGCACAGTGGGTGCTGTTGTAGCAGACGGCATGCTCAGGGCATTGAGGACAGAAGGCTGCAGGGAACACAGAGTGTCTTCCTTTGCTAATTCATGTATTCAAGAAATATTCGTTAGCGCCTACAGTCTATAAGATGCTGTGATCAGAAGGCTGTCCTCCTGGAAATATCTCTGCTGACATCATTTTCCCACCCAGCCCACTGCTAGGCACAGATGTGTACAGTGCCAGAAGATCCCACTTCTGCAACCAACACCACTTGTGCTTGACATTTGACCTCTGAGTCCCAGTACCTGTGTGCTGGGGCCCCTGAGGGCTCTCTCTGGCCACCAGAGTCCCCTTTGTTCACCACCTGGCAGGGTGACATTGTTTGCCCTTTCAAGAGCAAGACCCTCCATCAGTGACTGACAGGAGTCAGTCTACCAAAAAACTCAGTTTCATTAATGTGAAAGTAACCCATTAGGAAATAATGTGTACTGTTGAGAATGTGGAGAGACTGGAACCCTGTGCCATGCTGGGGGTTGTAAAATGAGGCAGCCTGTATGGAAAGCAGTTCGATTGTTCCTCAAGAAGTCAAAATGTAGAATTACCATATGATCTAGCAATCACACCCCTGGGCATACACCCAGAGGAAGTGAAAGCAACATCTGGAAGAGATGCTTGTAAACCCTTGTTCACAGCAGCAGCATTATAGTAGCCTTAAGGGGGGTCTCCAGATCCCAATCTCCTCTCCTCTGGCCTTTGGCTATGAGTACACTCACCTCTAGAGTTCTTGGCTTCTGATCCTGACAGAGTCAGCAAGACACCAAGACCTAGAATAGAGAGAGGATGGAATAATTCAGACAGGGCTCCCAGGGCTGGGCTTGACTGAAGGCTGGGAGAGTCAGGGGTGACTAACTCTAACCTTCTGCCCAGTCATGTGTGTGACTTCCCTGTAGATTCCTCCAGGCAGGCTCTAATGCAGGGGTCATGGGAGCAGGCATGACATGCTACTGAAGCAGGAGAGGTATATCTGACAGAAGTGGTGGGGCCAGCTCCCCAAAGCTCAGCAGCTAATTCAACTTTCCCACCTAGTCTAGTACCAAAGATCAGCTCTGCGATCTCCTTTCCATATTCCACTGTCTGCCTTTGTCAGGCCAGACTTCAAACCCTACACCATCCAACAAAAATATAGGTCTTTTTAAAATTTTCTAGTGATCACATTTAAAAAAACATAGCAAAGACAAACAGGTGAAATTAATTTCAATAATATATTTTACTTCATCAAATAGAGCTAAGATGGTATCATGCTAACATGTAATTAATATAAAATAAATGCTTAATAAATTATTAACACCTCATGTGTGTCTTAGTTCTTTGGAATCTGGTGTGAATTCAACACCTCTCCATTTCCACTGGCCAGATTTCAAGTGCTCACTAGCTGCCGTGGCTGGTGGCTATGGGATCGGATGGTGCAGGTTTAACCTTTAGGACCTCAAGCTTACTCTAAGGTCAGAAGAAATCTGAGTAATATAGACCATAAGAATCCTGGAAGCCCAAGCACCGTGGCAAATCTGAAAAGGATAAAGTGTTGTGGTATTTTGTTTGTTTTTGTTTTTGAGACAGAATCTCACTCTATTGCCCAAGTGGAGTGGAGTGCAGTGGTTTCATCATAGCTCAGTGCAACCCCCTCCTGTGGCAGCTTCCCAAGTAGCTGAACTACTACAGGCATATACCACCACACCCTGCTAATTTTTTCTATTTGGGGTAGAGATGGGATCTCTCTGTTTCTCAGGATGATCTCCAACTCCTGACCTCAAACAATCTTCCCACCTCAACCTCCCAGAGTGCTAGGATTACAGGCCTGAGCCACTGCACACAGCTGGTAAAGATGTTTTAACTATTACCCCTTTCTGCTGCTACACTGTTAGACAAAAGCTTCATCCTGAGACTGGGAATGGACTCAGAGATGCAGAAAACTTTCCCACTTATTTCTTCCTGGGGTATCTAACACCAGTATCTCAAGGCAGATAGTCTACGAATGACCCTGCAACTGGCTGAACAATTTTTCTCCTACCCCTTTTGTTGCAAGCCCATTGTAGTGGAAGCCTTTGCTAAAACATGCAAGCATCTGCTTTCACAGCCAGCATCAGCTCCCAAATGGTGAAACAGCAAACAACATCTAGTTCATTGGACTTGCATCATGTACATGGTCCATTTGGGTTATCAAAGAAAGAGGCAATCCCCTGGTCCTGGCAAGATGAAGGGACAGCTCCTGCCTCTTCCAGTATACTTACTGAGTTCAGTATCATGGGTAGTGATATGATAATTCTCCCTCTTCTTCCACACCTGTTCAGGGGTCACCTCTCATTAATGCACCCTTCATTGCCTCTTCAAGCTTCCTTCTGTGACACCCACCCATCTCTTTCCTTCCAAGGATCCCATCCAGAGCGAACACTTATACACAAACAAGTTCTTGCCTCAGCTATGCTCTGGGCTGCCCATCCCAGAAGACTCAGGAGGAGAGTTTCATACAAGACAAGCACATCCAGTTATGGCTGGAGAAAGTGCCTAAAGTGGGAGCAGACACAGCTAGGACAGCAGAGGACAAGAAGAGAAGGCAAGGAGTTTGTTGTTCTACTCACCCGAGAGCAGGAGCCAGCACCTGCTTCCCATTGCACATGCACACCAGGAGCCACGGCCTGAGACTCTGATGCAGGGGCTGATGCTCATCCAAACAATAAACCCTGCCTTTTGTTTGAGCCAGTAATTCTGCTTCTGTGTGACTATCTCAAGGAAAGCATCCTGCAAGTATGATCATAGCAGAGTTGGTTATAGGAAATAAGCTGACCACCAGAAAATATTGAAAATAGATGCATCTCATGGAATAAATATTCTGGGATTTAAAATCCTATCCTACTATAATCAGCAAAATCTAGACTATGGAAAATCCAGTGGACAAACTACCTTGTTTCCATTCCCCCACCCACCCAAGACAGTGTCTCGCTTTGCTGCCTGACTAAAGTGCAGTGGTGTGATTTGATTATAGCTCATTGCAACCTCAAACTCCTGGGCTTAAGTGGTCCTCCCACTTATGCTTCCCAAAGTGCTAGGATTATAACAGTGAGCCACTGCACCTGGCCTATTTTTCTCTTTCACATTGCTGTTATGTATTTGGTTTTATAAAAATGTTTTTAACTGACAAATACTCATAAGTGACATATACTTAATGGAGTAAAATGTGATGTTTCTGAATATGATGACATTCTACAGTGATTAAATCAAATTAATTAGAATATTCATCACTTCACATAGTTCTCAGTTTTTATGATGAGAACATTTAAAGTTTATCAATTTGGACATATGCTAATATTGTATTGTTATTAACTAGTCACCATGCTGTACCAGAGATCTCCATCCTACTTAACTGAAACTCTGTACCTTTTGACCAACACCTCCCTAATTCCACCTCCCTAACTCTGCCCATCCTCTGTTAGCCACTGTTCCTCTCTATATTCCTATTAATTCCACTTTTCTTTGTCAAAAAAAATGCAAGATGTTAAAAGTAACCAAACACATAAAAGAAGATTCTAGATTAAAGAGACAGACCATAGCAACCAATTACTGAACCCAAATCAAACAAATAATTTTCAAGGTTATAAGGCTGAACACTTCATGACATTAAGGAACTATTCTCTGTTTTTCATAGACCTGATAATTCACTCTCACCTTCCTCACCTGTCATCTTAAGTGGCTGCTCTGGAGGGTGTAAGATTATCTTAATGTTTATTAATTTGAGTTCTTTGTAGATCCTAGTAATCAAGCTTTTGTCTAAATCAAAATATGCAAATATCCTTTCCCAATGAGTAGGGTGTCTATTTGCTTTGGTTGTGGTTGCCTTAGCTGTACAGAAGCTTTTCAGTTTCATTAAGTCCTATTTGTTTATTTTTGTTGTTGTGATTGCCACAGAAGTCTTCCTCATAAAGTCTTTGTGATGATCCTCACTCAAAACTGCAGAAGGGAGCGTGGATGTGGAGAGAATGGAGCACTTTTACACTGCTGGTGGGACTGAAAACTAATACAACCTTTTTGGAAGGAAGTATGGAGAATCCTCAAAGAACTCAAACTAGACCTCCCATTTGATCCTGAAATCCCATTACTTGGCATCTACCCAGAAGAAAAAAAAAATCCTTTACCACAGGGACACTTGCATTAGACTGTTTATTACAGCTCAGTTTACAATCACCAAAATGCTAAAACAGCCAAAATGGATTAACAAGCTGTGGTATAAGCACACCATGGAATACTATTCAGCAACTAAAAAAGATGGAACTTTACATCTTTTCTATTCACCTGGATGGAAGTGGAACACATTCTTCTTAGTAAAGTATCACAAGAATGGAGAAACAAGAATCCTATGTACTCAATTCTGACAGGAGGACAATTAAGGTCCTAGTACATGGTGGGGTGGTAGGGGATGGGGAGAACAGAGAAAGGGAAGGAGGGAGGGGGTGAGGGGACAAGGGGTATGGTACACCTTTTGGGAGAGGGACACAATTATAAGAGGGTCCTTATCTAACAAAAGCAATCAGTGTAACCTGGTTCTGTGTCCCCAACAATAAAAAAAAATTATCTTAATGTTATACTTTAAAGATAGTAAATAAATAAATACTAAGGAAAGAAATATGTGTGCTGGTATTTGTATAAATAGGGAGATGGTAAGGAAAATGTTAGCATACTATATACAATTACAAATATGTATTTATCTATTTATATTTGTACAAAAGGCTAACTATCCTACTTTCCAAAAAAAGGTTATCAATCTATGTACAATTATATATGTGTATGTGTATACGTGCATACACAAAGTTATACATACAAATGTTTAAAATATAAAAATGAGGTGAAGGCTATGTTGAATAGTAGGATGTAAGGACTCCAATTTGTACAAATAATCCACACATTGAATCCCAAAATGGCATAAATGTATTTATGATCTATGTATAAATGACATAATAAAAAATATATAAATTTTAAAAAATAAAATATAAATTCATCTAGTGCAGATACATATCTCTTATGATATTGTATTTCTACAAAATATTTCTGAAGACAACCTAAGATACTCAGAATATCAGATGCCTTTGAAAATAAGTGGCTGGAAAGTTGAAGCAAACAGACTTTTCACATTTCATTCTCTTGTACCTTGGGAACTTTGAACCAAGTAAAAGTCTCTTTTATGAAAAAAAATGAATCACTTCTAATGAAGAAAATAGTGGCAACACTGGACATTGTTATATGTGAGCCTGTCAAAGAAGACATTAAAAAGCATCATAGTAAGTGTTTGCCTGTGGATATCATTTTAGCACCTAAAAAGCACTCTCCTAAGTTAATGGCAATGAGCACTGAGATCTAAGATAAAACTTCTCATGCACATTAGGAAAGATAATGTGCTATGCAAGTCTGTGAAGCTGCTCAAAGAGCAGGGAGGGCCAGGGCTGACAAAGATGCTGATGGGGAGGATGGGCTGAGTAGTTTGAAGAAAGCAGTTTCATAAAATGTAAGTAAGAAGAAAGGCAGCATTTAAATATGTGCAAGGCCAATAATTTGATAAATGAATAAATGTAATGCTGTAGAAGGCTATTAAATTGACTTGGAAAATGATTATAATATAGCATTGGGATAAAAGTTGAGTATTATGATCCTATCATTACACATTGTATATGCATGTATCAAGATATCAATGTATCCCATCAAAGGTACAATGATTATGCATCAGCAAAAATGCAGGTTACAGAGCAAAGTATATAACATCACACTTAAGGGACTTATAAATACTAACAGGACAATGACATTATGAATGAATTTTTTAATTGCTTATTTTTCTGTAAGAACTAATTTATCCATAACATGGTATGAGTGATTTTAAATCCCTTTTTATTTATCTGTAATTCTAAATTTTGCATATTACTGTAACAGGAAGAGAAATTAATAATAATAATGAAGTTTATAAATAGAAAACAGAATTACTTAAAAATGGTTTCTCTTCACATCTCTGTCCCTTCTCCATGCTCCTGTTCTGCTTTGGTATTTGAGTTTGGATCCCCTCAGGGCTGCCTGCATGCATAAGGAGTAATCTACTCTCCATGCCTCACCCACAGTTAGGGTGAGAAATTTCTCATCCTTCCCTCACCACTCTCTAAAATCATCTGAGAGCTCTGCTATGGGGCCAAGTGCCTTGGTAAGAACTTTGTGGCTATCATCTCATTGAAATCCCACAACGTTTTAGAATGTAGGTCTGACTATTCTCTCCCCACTCTTCAGATGAAGAAATTGAGGTTCAGACTCAGTGCCTGTATCTCAGTGGCTAGGGCTTTGGCCATATACACCAGGGCTGGGAGTTTGAACCTGGCCCAGGCACCAAACAGCAATGACAACTACAACTAAAAAAAAAAAAAAAAAAAAAAAGCCAGGCATTGTGGCAGGCGCTTGTAGTCAGTCCCACTTATTTGGGAACCTGAGGCAAAAGAATCGCTTAAGCCCAAGAGTTCAAATTTACTGTGAGCTGTAATGTCACTGCACTCTACCGAGGGCAACAGTGAGACTCTTGTTTCAAAAGAAAAAAAAAAGGAAAAGAAAAGAAAAGAAATTGAGGTTCAGAGAGATCATATTGCTTGTTCTTCACAGTCAAGCTGCTTGGAAAATGCAAGACTAAGACTTGTACAAAGTCTCTCTCACTCAGAGCCCCTGTACAACCACCTCAGCAAGGTCATAAATGCCAGTCAGTGTCACCAGGGAGCTGGACAAGGAACATGAGTAAGACAAGGGTGGAAAGCACTGTGCACTGTGGGAAACTGGAGACAGTCACATCTGCTTTTCCCTTAAATACAGAACCAGAGGACCGCCAGCTGGCAATCTCTCCAGAAGCCTGTATTGCCTGGTAGAAAATCAAATTCTGGAGCTTTGCACAGAGGCAGTATCATAGCCAATGAAGTTTATCCAAGGCATGATTATTGCTAATTGAAAACTTTTCCCAATACCCCGCTGTGACCACTTGCAATGCAGTCAGCACTGACAATTTTTGACAGTCTCTACAAAGATGGAATAAAAAAAGAAAGAAAGAATAAATAAATCAAATTCTGGCGTGGGACTCTTGTGCTCCATTGGTGGAGGAATTATACTGAGCCCTTTCCTAGATGCCCTCCCTCTCTCAATATTGGTCTCTCCTTTTGATTCATGTTTCTTGTCCTTCAAAAAAGAACTTTAATATGTGCTGGATAAACTCTCAAAGCAAAGAATTCCTATTCAAATGAGGAAAATTTTCTTGAGGTCAGATTTGAAACAAATTTAAAATGAGACTATATTTACAGAAAAGAGGTGGTCGTATTTGTCACAACAGCTGATTCCTCTAGGGATAGTGATATAGAGAGACCAATGTGTGAAAATCATTTCAGAGAGAGAGAAAGAGAAAAAAAGAGCCACATTTCACAAAATAATACAACATTTGATACTTTGCAGTCATAGTTCTTTTCATGTTCGATTGTTGTGCTGATTGGCATGCACTAAGTTGAATTCATAGTTAACCCCCTTCCACTGGGTCATAACCAGGTAGCTGAAAATTTTTTTACCTGTAAATCTCTTTACTTCAGCCCTAAATAAAGCAGACAACTCTTTCACTGTGAAACTGTGTGATGTGTTTTTGATGGGAGTGGAGTGTATGAGAATGTTTTTAATTCACTATATGATCTCAGGAAACTCACTCATGTTTTTAGGCCTTTCTTTCCTCACTTTTCTTTTTTTTTTT